AAATCCGAAATACCTTAACATGCTGAAAAGGATTTATTGGGTGAGCTTTTTGAGCTGAAGAGACCATACAGACAGGAACTTTCCGCTTCGAGTCCTGACCAAGGCCACTGTTTTTCATCTGGCATCCACGCCATGAAGGCCATGCCTTGTGCTATCAGCGGTTTGCGCGAATTTCGCTTTAGCAAAACCGACCTGGCACCGGCGTCAGTCAGTTTAGCTATTCGATTTTCCGCTGGGTGGTTTGTACGTTCGTCGACTCCTTACTCGCACCGTGTTATGACCGGCGATCGCCATGCTCTATTTACCTCGAACGCGCTTCGACAGGTCTGTGCAGAATAAACATCTGTTGCAGTTTCCTGTTTGCTTGTGCAGATTGGAACTGTGATAGTGTTCAATCGAGAATACGTCCAGTATCCTGATTCGTAAAAAAATACTGTTTCCTTGAAATGCATCATTTAGAATAAATAATGAGTGGAAAAGAAGGCAATCTTCAGGAGTTTTTACACGTTCGTATGAGCGCTCTTCCCGTCTGTTATCCACTGATATGTTCGTAATTTGGCTTTCGGGGCCCTATAATCGACGGGAGATCAACGCTGCCCTAACAGTAAGACCTGGTACGTGTTGCGGTAGTCAGATCGTGTGTGGCACGCGCAGAGTGTTTGTTTATCCTTGTCAGCCACTGCAGCCGCGCCAACCTCCGTTCGTCTTGACATTGCCGTCCTACCGGGCAAATAGGTGGGGAAGGGAAGAGAAAATGCGCAGGTTCTGCACGAGTCTGCCTCAATAAAAGTTCATTCATGCGCCCACTTCATGGAGTACGCAGTGCAAGTTTTCGCTTTAGACGCTCGAGTTACCGGTTTATGAATTATGCCTACGCTGCCAAGTACTGCTAGCTTTTTTATTATCCTGGAGTCACCTCTTCTCAAAGAAACGAAGAGACATCTCCTGCTTGCTTCGATGATAATATATGGGATGTATGTTGGAGACCCCAGGGCAGTCAAAAGATTTCACAATTGGAAGCATAGTCTGAAACGAATGCAGATTTCCACAAAGTGTCAATGAGATGTTGCCTTTCGGTGCAACCTTTCGAGGAAGGCTTATTGAATTTAAATAATAATCCGGAACTACAGGAAGATGGGTACGGTAAACGAGCAACAATTTGTCCCATTAATGACAGAATTGGTCGGAAAGGCAGACGGGCGAAGCATAACATGTTATCACGCACAAGGTACAGGTTGAATCGAGCTGTGTGCTAATCAGTCCAAAAACTCCAGCTAAGCAAGAAGGACAGATAAAACAGAGCTTACCAAGGTAAAGAAACCAGTAAATCCGTTACCGATAAGACCAGACGGTACTGCAGCAAGGTACAACATCCACAGCGGTAACCTCAAAAGCACTGTGAGACCTGAAGGCGTGAAAGTTGTTAAAAATAGATCAAAAGAGGAACGTGTCTCTTTTTGAATTTTGGTCTGGTTTCCCTAAACTGCAACTTCGGACTTGAGAGACGACCGACGATCGAGTTACGCAAATGCTGTGGCACAGTTCGCAATTCTGCGGAGGGAGCTTAGTCGAATAAAGCAAAGGTCGGAAAAAGAAATTTGACTCTGGGGAGTATGGGACTGCTTAGTTGATGGAATGAAAATTTATAGCCTCAGCATGCCTCCTTCTGAATTTCGCGCGTTTTCTGAGCTA